AAAAAAAAAAAATGTGCTTTTTTTTTCCGTGCTTCTGCTGTGTGAATAGCAGGAACTAGGTGATAGGTCATTGGAGAATGTGGAATATTTTACTGCTTCTTTTATTACTGTTAATGTTAAAATAATAATACCTTGCATTTAAGTAATTTTTTGAACCTTTATTTTTGTGGCTTCTTTTTAGTGTTTTTAATATTTTTAAAGAACTTATAACAATAAAATAAATTCCAGATATAGCAAAACCTAAATGTAAAAAACGAAAGCATAAAAGTACTAGAAGAAAACATGGGAGAATTTTAAAAATAATCTGAGTGATAAAGACCTCTGTAAATATAAAACCCAGAAGCCATAAATGAAAATATTAAAATTTTCTGCCCAAAAAAAGTACCACAAACAGAAACAAAAGTCAGCCAACATACTGGGAAAAAAATTTTGCAACAAGTATGACGGGCTGATTTCCTATTTATACTGCTGTATAGTTTGCTTATAAATCAGTAGAAAAAACCCACCAAATGAAAGGCAAAGAACATGGATAGGGCACAGAAAAGGAAATTCAGTTTGCTTTTAAACATGAAAAGATGTCCAGTCTATTTCATAAGAAAAGGCAAAAATAAAACGAGTTATATTTTTTCACCTGTCAAATTGACAAAACAAAAAGTTGGAAAATAGAATTTGGCCCGGGTGTGGGGAAATAGACATTCTCATGCATTATTGGTGTGAACGTAAGTTGGCACAGCCAGTTTGGGAAGTATTTGGCAGTTTGGAAGGCCATATTACAAATGCACATACCTTGAGCTAGTAATACTATTTTTATGAATTTATTCTAGACTCATTTTCACAGTGTACTAAGAAATATTGATAAAGTTAATCGTTGCAGCACTGTCTAAAGGAGCAAAGGATTGGAAACAATCTAAGTTCACTGATTTGAAATGATCTCTAAGAACTATTAAGTAGAAGAGGCAGGATGTACAATAGTGTTTTCTGTTCTTGGAGTTAAACTGTACGGCTGGGGACAGGGAATGATAGATGCATATATGCTTGTACTTTAGAATATTCTTGGATGGATACACAAAAAACTGGTTAGTGTTGCTTCCTGGGAGGGAACTGGGGTTGGGGGCAGAGGTGAGCAGGAATGTTAACTTTTCATTGGATACCTTTTTGTAATATTTGGTTTATTTGCCATGTGCATGCACTACTTATTAAAAAAAAAAAAAAAAAGCTTATGTTTGGACTAGTAATTTTTCTTTACTCCGTTCTTGGCCGTGATCTGTAAATGGAGATTTATATTGTGTTGTTTATATTTTCTAGGAAATTTTACTCAGCTTATGGATCTGGTCAGAAAGCTTTTGATCTGTTCAATCCAAATTTCAAGTCTACTTGTCAACAGTAAGCCATTTTACAATTCCTGGGTTAGTTTTTTTTGTTTTTTAAGGAATTTAGTTATTGGTTTGAGGAGTTTTGTTGAATTCCACCGCAGGGAAAAGCCGCTCCTCTAGGAAGACATGTTAAGGGAATGCTTGATACTGTGTGACAGCATGTCTTGATGACTCTCAATATACAGCCCTCAGATGTGGTCTGCTTGGAATTCCAGGTTTGTGGAGAAGTACATTGAGCTACAGAAGCTTGGAGAAACAGATGAAGAGAAGTTATTTGTGGAAACAGGGAAGGCTTTATTGGCAGCAGGTGTCATTTTGAGAAGAGTAGAAGCAAGGACTGTGAGTATTTTTTGATTAAAATTGTTATTAGGGTTAGTTGTCTATTTGTTAGAAGTCAAAGGAAGACTTGGTTTTCCTTCTCCAACCTTGGTTTATGTCCCTGAACACCAGGTCAAATACTGGTAGATGAAATATGCTGAAATTTAAAAAAAAAAAAAAAATGTGTACACACACACTAAAATTTTGTGATAGTGACTGCTACTTGGAACAAGTGAGTTGTCATTAGGGCTTTTGAAATTATGGTTCTCCAGAGATTTTTATCACGTGTATTGCTTGTTAAAATAGAATTTGACCTGGGATATTAATGTTACGTTTTGACTCCATGATAGAATGTGCTTAGTCATACAGCTTCGGCCAGTCAGTGGAGTGAAAATGACATCTGTGTGATGTATTTATGTCTGGTCTTTTAAGCAAAAGGAAGGTAGTCACGTTTCCTGGGAATCTGAACCCACGGGTGTCAAACCGCAAACAGTATTGGAAAAAAACCAGCCTCTACAAGAAGTTCCACAGGACCAGCATTTGGAGACATCTGAAGAACAGCCGAAAGGTCTCTCACCTCCCTGAAGAACTTGTATACCGTGTATACTGATATCCAAATTGTATTCACTAGATGAATGTTGAACTGTTTTTAACAGTTGGACTGTGTAAATGTCTCCCAGTCTCTAAGGCATTATGTTTGCCTTCTTTTAGTTCCTGTTTCTAGGTTGTCATAAAGCTGAGTTTCATGGTTTGAATGAACTTTTATGTTAGGACGGTGTTAAATAAAGAATTCCCTGGCTGCTTATAAAGTAAATTTACTTTAAAATTGTAAATAGCATGAAGAAACCTTTATAAGTATGGTTTGAATGGGACTTGTTCTGAGTAGGTCTGCTTGGATTTCTGTGTTAACATGTGAGTTGGCTATATCTGATTCTTGGGTATCTTTCTCTTTTTTGGCCCCATCAGGCTTTTACTTGTGCATATGGTATGTCCCCTGGGCCACCTTTCTGTCTGCAGATAATCTTCACGTTTTGTTATAGAACTATTGATCTTCAACTTGAGAGGTCAAGTTGACTTGGGCTTTGTGGTAAGAGTGAGAACCTATCATTGTTGATAGACAAAGGTCAAAACTATAGCTTTAATCTCATAGATTAGGTTGAGAGTGCTGGAGACAATTAGCATAGGCCCAAACCTAGTCTGCTCAGTAAAGATTTGAATGAATAAATGATTACATCCAGCTGAAGACTGAATTCAGAGGACATCTGTAGATAACTGGATTGCCAGGAGGGGGCCAGCTCATTTAGATGCCGTGATCCACCGGCATCCACCTGCCTCCCTGGTGTGGAGATGTGGTGATGAGACCTTACCAACCGTTCTGCTTTCTTCATTTTCATACCTTCTCCTGAATGAATGACATCTTCTGAGTTTCTGGCCTTTATATTTGTGATCCTAAGGCCACTAGTTTTCAGCTACTAGTAATAAGCTGCTTCAGAAATTCCTGATTTTAAAACTCATGTAGCTTTTCTGTTCTTTGTGTACAGTCTCTTCCGTCTCCTGGTAGACCCAGGGTAGAGCCCACGCCTCAGCCCCGGCACGGCCTTGCACATGGTGCTCTGTGAATGGAAGGGGAATAGTACATGAGGCAAAAGCAGTTCTCAGCCACGCTGCATCTCCCTGCCACCCGTCACTGGTTTGCGATTCCTTTTGTTTGCGGAATGCTTTACTTTTAGATGGGAAAGTAAATTTCATCCATTCAACAACCAGAGACAGCTAGTGAATGCCGAGCTTGGGGAGGAGGACTTAAGCGGGGGGAAGAGACAGTTCTGTTCTCAGAGGAACAATTGTGGGGGGGTGGGGGTCACTCATTAACTTCTTTAGACTTTCTGGAGTTTAAAAGGAAGTTTTTTGCCATAATGATGAAGACATTTTTAGAAAGTTGTTTGATACATACTTTTCTTTTTTTAATTTTTCTTTTTTAAAGATTTTATTTATTTATTTGACAGCAAAAGAGCACAAGCAGGGGGAGCAGCAGAGGCAGAGGGAGTAGCAGACTCCCCGCTGAGCAGGGAGCCCGTCGCGGGACTCAATCCCAGGACCCTGGGATCATGACCTGAGCTGAAGGCAGACGCTTAACCAACTGAGCCATCCAGGCGCCCCTATTTTTTTTTTTTAAGATTGATTTATTTACTTAGCATGAGCGCGAGGGGCAGAGGGAAAGGGAGAGAGAACCTGAAGCAGGCTCTTTGCTGAGTGCGGAGCCAGACGTGGGGCTCGATTTCACGATCCTGAGAACAGGACTGGAACTGAAGCCAAGAGTCAGATGCTTAACCGGCTGTGCCACCGAGATGCCCCCGATGCATAATTTTTTAAAAAAATTATACAGACACATGGTTCAGAATTTAAAGGTAAAAGGCTGGTCTCCTTTCCAAAACCTATCTCCAGCCACCTATTTCTCTCCCCCAAGGCCATTTCCTTTCCAGGAATATTTTGGGCGTATGCATGGGGACACTGTGCTTACTGTCCTGTACCTCATTTTTCCATTTAATATGTCTCAGATCCTTTGTGTGGATGCCTAGTGATTTAATCAGTGCCCGAATGACAGAAGTGGCTCTGTGTTTTCTTGGGCTGCAAACAGGCTCGTGCTGCTGTGGGTGTATCCATTACAGCGGTACTTCTAGAATAGCGTGCCTTTGATTTTGGTGTTGTCCTCCATAGAAGCGGCTCAGTTACGCTCCCGCCAGCAATATACAGGGATGCCTGTATCCCCGCACCCTCACCAGTACACTTCCAGCTTGTGTTTTTTGTGTTTTTTTAAAGATTTTATTTATTTATTAGAGAGAGACCATGCACACGCACAGGACGGGGCGGGGGGAGGGAAGAGGGAGAAGCCGACTCCCTGCTGAGCGTGGAGCCAGACCCAGGGCTTAATTCCAGGACCCAGGGATCACTGCCGGAGCCGAAGTCAGACATTTAACCGATTGAGCCACCCAGGCGCCTCCATTTCCATCTTGTTAAACCAGACAGACTCTTCCCTGAGGAGAACCTAAGCCTGGGAGAAGGGAGAGAGACTAGACCTTACAGCAAACTTCCTTTATGTTGAGTCTCAGTAGTCAAAACAGTGAAAGTGAAGTGTTTTGGGGAATTCAGAGCCCTTCCCACAGTTGGTGTGGGCAAAAGCCATCGTTGGCATAGAGATGCTTGGACAGAATGGAAGTGGAAGCTCATTCTTGCATCAATGACCTTAAAATCTAATTGGGAAGACGAGTGACTTTGGAAACAAAATGAACAGGAATTCTTTCAAGTTATGATACAAAATAATGGTAGAGTCGGGGGGAGGAGCCAGCTCTAGACTAGTCCAGGAATACTGCACGGAGAGCCTTGAAAGGCAGGGGGAGTTGAAGGAGGCATGCTGTTTCCTCTGCCTGGAGCACCCTCCCTGCCACCACAGTTTTAAGAAACTATTTTCACTGCCATTTCCAAATGGTAACTGCTCAGGGGTCCTGGCTGGCTCAGTTGGTAGAGCATGTGGCTCTTGATCTCAGGGTCCTGAGTTCATGGGCATAAAACTCTGTTACAAAAAAAAAAAGAAAAAAGAAATGGTACATGCTTGGAAATGTTACCTGATGTTCAAATCAGATCTCCAGTCCCTTCCGGGCTGCACTCATGCATGTCATTCAGTTGGCACACCTGGTCCGCTGTTGGCACTCTGGCCTCACCCTTGTCATCCGTTCCGGAAGGAACTACCTTCTTTCCATTCAGAGTGTAAACAAGTGCAGAAATTCTTACTCATACCCACTGACGCATTAGACAGAGCCTTTCTGGAGTGGGCCCTCCATGTAGGTTTGCTGAGCTGAAGCCAAGAAAGGCATGTGTTCAGGTTACAGTGCAGTTTGCAAAGACAAGTTTGAAGTTCTGGGACTAGTTCTCGTTCCTCCAGTTTTTGTTGGTGTGACCTTGTGCCTGTGACAGTCTCAGAGTACAAAATAGGGATAATGTTTGCTTCTTTGGCTTCTAGTTAGTTACGTGAAAATTGAGACAATGCAAAGCCCACTTGTAATACGTGACAGATGCTTCTATTACTCTTGAGTAGTGGAAAACAGGTTTGAACAGGTAGTATGGAGTCAGACCACGGTGGCCTCAGTAACTACCTGGAGTTGTTCAGTTGGGTATCAGAAAGTTTGAGCAGGGAAGTAACATAGTGAAAGCAGTGTTGTGTGGAAGGAAGATTGACCCAGATGTGATACAAAGAACGGCGTTGGCGGAGCCGGCAGGGAGGGGGGAGGGCAGGAAGAGGAGACTTTGGTCTCTGCAGCCATGCCAAGGTTACAAATGAGTGACCAGAATACCTGCATCACTAACAGCAAGGTTGGGAAGAGGGCTTCAATTCTCAACATACTGAGAGGTGATGGTGCATCGTCCAGGTGGCAGACAAAGGGATGAGTTGGATGTCTGGGAGATGGGGAGGAAGTCCCTAGCACAGGGGTAAGGGTTGGAGCCAGGAGAATGAAAGCTCTCCAAGGGGAGTGTAGAGAGACACAGGATGTTGGGGGCTGAGCCAGGTGAATGCTCTTAGTTAAGGGACAGAAGGAACAAGAAAGTCAGCAAAGGAAACTGATCCCACAACTCCCATCATCTATATAGCAAGGCTTTTTTTTTTTTTTTTTTTAATTTATTTGAGAGCAAGAGAGCTCAAGCGGGGGGTGGGAGGGTTCAGGGAGAGGGAGAAGCCGGCTCCCCACTGAGCAGGGAGCCCGACTCAGTGCAGGGCTCCATCCCACAACCCTGGGATCACAACATGACCTGAAGGCAGACCTTTAACCCACTGACCCACCCAGGCGCTCCTATGGCAAGGCTCTTTTAAGTGGTCCTGGATTCACAAGATTTTTTAGAGTTCTTCCTTCGCTTCTGTTTAGTAGGCCTGATTCTTGATCATGTGTCCTTAAAAGGCAAACCCAAGTCTTTTTGTAATTTTGTGTAACACTTAGTGTCGTGTTCTCTGATCATGAAAGCAGTATTATAGAAAATTTGGTGCTCCCAGAGGATTCCTGATTTTTTTTTTTTAATGGTACCCTTCTCTGTAAATAAATGATGGCTTGCCACTTAAAAACATTCCACAGATTCTCTCTTTGACAAAAGTCATTTAAGTGGGAGAAGATTTTCTCTGAGCCCCACACTGGTGCCTACCTCTGCCCCTGGGAACCCAGATAGGCACGCAGGAGTTGTGGGGCCTCTTCCATCCTTCTAGGCTCTCCGCTAGGAGCAGGGCTAACTCAAAACCGGGCCGGCTGTTTTCCTGACTACATGGGCTCTAGGGCCCAGGACATGCCGTGGCTCTGGGACTGCAAGTGCTGGCTCTGCCTCAGGAATGTGGAGCTAGGGACAAGGAGCGGTGAGCGGGTGTGTGTGTGTCGGGGGGGGGGGGGATGAGATTATTACTTCGCTCGGGGTCTCCGTGTTCCTGAGCTCTATTCCAGAACAGCCAGAAGGTGGAGGCGTGATTGGCGAGGTTCATCATGTGTTTTGAGCCTTTGACGGTGCTCAGGGAGATGGATGCCTGAGCAGGTTTGGTGAGCCACTTGGTTGAGGTCACCTTGTCTGGTGGAGGAAGGGCACCTCCTGTGGGGAAGACAGTCTAGGGTAGCGCTCAGTGTGGCCTGTGGCCGTGTGACTGGTGAGCCCGGCGCTGGAGCAGGTTCTGTGGAGATGCTGAACCACACTGTTTCTGCTCTGGCACTCAGATGGAGAGGTCGCTAGGGGAAAGCAAAGGCAGGAAGTGGAGGCTATGTCCCCTCCATCCATGTGTATTACAGGCAGAGGACTTTAGTTGAGTGAGTGGTGGCTGACAGTGAAATTACATTTGGGGTAGAGTTTTACCCTCGACTGATGCTTGTCTGAGACCGGAACTTAAATGGCAGTCACCTGACCTTCTAG